GAGCCTCCAGGAAGCTCCCGGCGAGGTGCAGGAAGCTCCCCGTCGAGGTGCAGGGAGCTCCCGTCGAGAGGCAGGAAGTGCCTGCTTCTCGACGAGAGAGCTGACGCGGGGCCGCGCTCCAGGGGGAGCGGAGGGGGCAGGAGCGACCCGCCTCGAAGCGACAGCGGGAACTCGGACCCGACGACCCGGGCGGTGGTTTCTGAAGCCGCGCGGCTCGCCCAGTCTTGAACGATCGGCTGCAGGGGACCTGGGACACACAAATAAATACACACAAATAAAAAGATTCCCAATATTTTCCTGTAGTTTCTGGGTTTCTGTCTTCCCCCCCACTTCCCAGATTTTCCTATATTTTCTTGGGAATCGACGATTAATTGTGTCTGTGTGTTTTTTCCCCTCCTGACCATCTTTGGCCGATGCTGGGCCACCAGCAGCGCTCAACCTGGAACGCCAGAGCCAGGGTCGCCGCCGCGTCCACACGACACGAACCTGACGCACTGGAGAAAGGGGCCACCTCGGGAAGAAGGATGCTCACATGCAAGGCGCGAAACCGACGCGACAACGTTCCCCGCGGCGTTCCGTCGCATCCGCTTCGGTGAACTCGAGATCGTCGCAGGGGCATTCGGTGGCGACCTCCGCCTGCTTCACGCCGTCGTCGTTCGTGCAGGGGCCACCTGTGCCGCTCAGCACGCCGGGCTCGACCTTGCCGATGGCCACAAAGAGCACTTGGCAATGGAACCTGGCCCCGACGCGGCTTCAACGGCGAGAGAGCCAGCCAGCCCCGTCCCACCGTGCTGTCGGCATCCTCGACCTCTCTCGTCTTGCCAAATCGGCTCCCCTGGGTTCCCTCCCGACGCGGTCGCGAAGCCCGAGCCGCTCCAGGATTGAGATCTGCTTGAAGCTTGACGTGTGCTTGATTGAGACATGCAACTCGCAAACGGTTGCAAGCGCGTTTCGGCCTGCTTCCGAGCAACCAACCGCGAAGGATTTACCGCTCAGCCGGTGTTCGTCAGGCTTACATCCACTGTAATACAGAAGCCTGATGGCATCCACCGACGAGCTCCCAATGCGCCACTCATGACTACCAGCGATGGGCAAAACACATTTAAGACCCCAATCCTAGAAGCAATTTTTTAGCGGCGGAGATAGGCGAACACCAGCGATAACCGAACAATAGTTCCAACCAGTGTCATGAGACCGCGAGGATACTAAACGATGGCATCAACAAACACATTCGGGGGTGCGACCAAGCTTTGTCTCGAGTAGCACTACACCTGGAGAAACACGTCCGCCACAGGAACATGAATGTTTCTCTCTCTCTCTCTATCAGTTTCTCTCTCTCTTTTTCTCTCTTTCTCTCCAGTATCTTCCACAAGACAGAAAGAATGCCCTCTGTTGTCATCCCTCGAAGACGACTCGACCATCGATCTTGAACCACCTACAACTCCTCCGAATTAACACGAAACACATGTAGGACGAGGACGACAGTGGATTCCCTCGTGGGGTTATTAACTCTGCACGGGAACCCTAACAAACACCAGGCATGCCCGCGTGTCTCGCGCGACGCCCAACAACGAACCGTTGACCCATCTCCCCGCTTCTCCTGTCCCTTTCCCTCCTCCTCCTCCTCCTCCCTGAAAATGATTCAGCCCCTGCATGGCATCCATTCGAAGTCTCCCGAATGACCCATCCCCGATGGCAGAGCGAGAGGCGTGCCTTCGTGCTCCTGCCTTCTCGTGGTTTAAACGATTCATGTCGATCCTCGTCGTCCTCCATGATCCTTGTCCTCCTCATCTTCGTCAACCTTCTCGCTCCTACTCCTCCCCTTTCCTTCCCCTGATCGGGCCACTCAGAACATGGTAGTGATAAGATGTGGGATTTAGAGAGACGGCCCCAAATGTCGAACATCCGTTATTGAATCTAGCAGACCGGCTTCTGCGTTTACTGAATGATGTTTTGTATTGTTGTGGCTCGGCGGCGCAATGTGATAAATCCGTATCCCGATTGGGTAAACCGTCGATGTTTTGAGAACGCGCGCTCGTTCATTAACACGATCTATGTACGCCAGTGACCCTCATCCTTCGTTTCAATACTGTTATTTCTCCTCCTTCGCGTCATCCTGCTCTTTGTTTCCATCTGCCTCCACGGCAGGTTCCTGTCTTCTGGAGTACGTCGCCTCGCGGGCCACTAAGTCTTGCGCGGTCTCCGCCACCAAGGGCCGCCACAGGCTGCTGGGCATTCGCAAATGTTCGGCATCCCCAAACGCTCCCAATCCAGATCGATTGCAAGAGGAAACAAGCCGAACGATGCGGCGAAGCTCGATCGATCATTCGGCGTATTCCACCCCATGCACATCATCCCTTTCCTGCTCCGTTGCCCTCTCCTCCGCGCATGCCCCGCCCCTTCTCCCTCTGTCTCGCCATTGTTATTCAACCTGCTAGGTTTCTCGGCGTCGCGAGGGCCGGCGCGCTGGTGCTCACTCATGGGCAGAAGGTGCGCCGCTCCGAGGTCGGCGAACCCGAAGGCCTTCAGCTTCTGGAGCTGGAGGCTCCGGACTTCTGGTCTCTGGAGTGCTTGAAAATGCTCGCTGATGAAGACCATCGAGCAGCCTCGTGCGGGCTGTGTTTATATTGCCACTCTTTGGTGGCCCTCTGCTATCCTCCAGAAGACCTGAGAGAGAAAAAAAAAACAAAAAAAAAAAAAAAAAAAAAAAAAAAAAAAAAAAAAAAAAAAAAAAAAAAAAAAAAAAAAAAAAAAAAAAAAAAAAAAAAAAAAAAAAAACGGCATGACTGCCGCACTCGCACAGAAAACCAACAGGCCATCGACACAGGTGCCAGCAGACAAGGCGCGAGAGGAATGCACTTTAGGCGCCTTCTGAACTCGCCCCAAAAAAAGGCGCAGGGTTCATCGCGACGCGGAGAGACGGCATCATCAGAATGGCTGAATGGGAAACAAGCAGGCACATCTCCACGCAACATGCTCAGCTCGTTGCCAATCGTGCGCTAGCTGGAGCTGGGTCTTAAAATGATCGGACTTATGTATCATCTGTCCTGGGGTGCTTGGGCCAAGCCTCCAGCATCCTGGGAATGAATGTCAGAATGCTAGCGGCGTCCTCCTTCATCTCATCAAACAACGACACCGACGACGGGTCCAACGACGGGTGCATTTGGAGGGCCGATGTCGCAAACTGGTTACATTTCTTGTTGTTTTGATATGACAACATATCTTCAGGCCGAACTTTATCTTCATCCTGCTGAGATTCGACTTTGACCGCGGCTCTTACATTGTGTCTGCTGTCGCGACCCAGGGCCGTTCTAAAACTGTCTGCATACATGCTGCGATATGATAGTCTAGCGGCCAGTGGATCATGGCATCCATCGGGCACCGCCGCACAGTCTACATGCGCAGTGAATACTTGGGCCAACGTCTGCTGCAGAACTAAAAATCCGAAGCGTTCCGCGGCCTGGGGCGTCTGCGGAAGGGGGAAAACTACAGGGCCCGATATAATGGCATCGAGCTCCCCATCACCCGAAAACCCACAGGCCGCCCAGGGGGGGCGCTCCATGCATTCGAAGCCAGACCTAGAGCAAGTGCCACCTGGGCCCGCATGGGGCCCTAACTTACAGCGCTGATACCCTGAAGTCCCACGACCCACAAGTAAAATAGCCATGGCAAGCTCGCCGGCAGGAGGAGGGAAGGCATCAGGGTTGGAGGACGGGCGAGGAACAAGACCTAGCAACAAAGCTAAGATCTGCTCAGCATTATCTAGACATGCGGCTCATTGTTCTGCGGGAAATCGGTCACTTCTTAGCGCCACGGCGACCTCAGCCCGGCAGTGGAAGAGCCCGTGCACAAGAGCATCTCCTGCGCATCCACGCAATCGGCAGCAATCCTCAAAGGCACACCTGCAGCCGAGGCTCGACAAGCGGTCCACAAAGCTCGGCAAGCTACAGCCCCCAGGAGAGCCAACTGCCCCGCAGAAAGCTGTCCTTTTCCAATCGCAGTGAGAACCCTACAGGCCACATCCAAACTCTTCCAGGGCACTTCCTGAATATGACGAAGGCTCTTAGCTGCTTCTGTTTCCCACATCCTCGCGCGCGAACCCCGAAGCCAGTGCCCCAGAGGCTTGGGCGAGGCATCTGCACGCGAGAACAACTTGCCCTCGCGCGCGCGCAGCACGAAGGGCACTTGACACGATCAGCCGACCCTGTCAAGAGCGCGCGCTGCTGCTGCGACAGGTCCTCGAACTTGATTGCACGTGAGTCCAGGGCGGAGATCGATTTGTGCCAAGAATGCTTTAAGCTGCAGAATCCCCAATGCACCCACGGGAGCGGCTTCGCCAATTGCAGCGGCCCAAACTTCCTGGGCCCAACGGACGACCGGCGCCGAAGACCACTGCTCAGCCTTGGACTCATACATAGCAGAAGTGGCAGCTCTGCTTTTACCTTTACATGGTGGCCCTGTGGCCGACAGCTCAATTTCACGGATGTTCTCGAGGTAGGTGTTGGGGGGCCCTTGAATGCAAGAGGCGAAAGCTCCCGCGGGCAGCAGCCCGCTGGCGACAATCCTGCGAGCTCCCTGACCAGCGACACGCACAAGTTGTTCAATCGAACAGCTCATTGCTTTAAGTACTGAATCCTCTTGGCCGTCGCGGTGTCTCTAGGAACAGCAACCGATTTACACGCTCTGAAGTCCGATCCAAGGTTGGTAGTTAGTTGATGTCGTTGCCCCGCCCAAGCCCCTAAGGGCCCCAGGGCGTTCCTGCCGAGCGCTGCCGAAGAGGCCGCGCCCAACGGCCGCGGCGCATCTTCTGCCCTGCACAAGTGCGCGTAGAACTCCGCGGAAACATCTGCGACTGGTTGCCCGTTTGCAACGACGCCGCCGCTGCGCGCGCGTTGAAGCGGGACGCCCGCGCATTGGAGTGGATCCACGCACGGATGAAAATTGCCGGCGCAAAGAGCTGTAGACCGCGAAGACCTGCCTCGCGAACGACTGCATTCGCGCCCACACTTGGGGCGGGCGAAAATGGCCAGCGCGGCGAGCCGTAGATCGCGGGGACCTGCCTCGCGAAGGACAGCGTTCATGTCCGCGCTCGGGGGCGCGTTGCGTCGGCCAGTAGATAACGGCGACAAGCGTCATGAGAAAGGCAAGGCGAGTGGCATTGCGTCAGACCACTATCCCATGATCCTCGGAGGGCGGGAGGGCCGGCCCTGGTCTCTCCCGGCGGCGCCGTCAGGACGGGGCGGAGGGCAAGGCCGATCAAGCGCTGGCGCCGCCGCCCACGCCCGGGCTTCTTCCCCCGTTCCGCGCGCCAGTGGCTGGAGGCAGCCGCGCGCGCCCAGTCGCGCGAGTTCAGCTGCTCCCGCGCAGGGGCGCAGTCGCCGTCGTCGTCGCCCAGGACCGCGCCCATGTCTTGCGTCGGAGTCTTGTTCAGACTCGTCGTCTCCATGCCCGAACAGGGCTCTTGCTTCGGCCAGCTTCAGTCTAGTTAATGGCCTCATCTGGCGCGCAGTTGTCAAAGACCATGTCGGAGTCGGCGCGTGCGTCGCTGCCCTCGTCGAGACGCAAGATGGCCCTCGCTTCTCCCATAGCGTGGTCGTCGATGACCGCCGCCCCGCCGGGCGCGCGTGCGTCGCTGTCCGCGCCTGAGTCGGCGCCGGAAACGCCATCGTCGCCCAGCCCCACATCGGCCCCGCGCGCGACCGGGAGCTGGGCCTCGACGCCCACGGGCTAGGGCCCCGCGGCCGCAGCCCTCGATGGCCTGAGGAGCTCCCCCAGGATGTCAAGGCGCGGGCGCGAGTCCGAGTAGATGGCGCCCCATTTCGAAACTCGCCCTCGCGCGCGGAGTTGGCAAAGTCCTCGAAGGCCCAGCGCGAGACTGTCCAGCTTACGCGCCAAGTTACTAATGGAGCGCAGATAATCTGGGTGCGCCGCAAGCTCTTCCCCCAGCTTGGCATTCAGCCTGATAAGCTGCTTCCGCATGCAACTAGCGCGAACTGCAGACGCAAGGGACGCGCCGTCTTCAAGGCGATGACCAGAGGCACCAAGCTCCTGATCATCCGAAGTGGCGTAAAATTCTGCATCGCCCTTGCCCACATACTCGCACGTCAGAGTTCACGACGCAGGACTCTCCGAGCGGCCCCCCATTGCCGCCCGGAAGTTGAAGACTGGCCACCAACCGCAGTCTCGCCCCCATGTCAAATCCACCTCCGAGAAGTGGGCCTCCAAGGAAAATTACCCCCCTCGACCGCAGAGGTCTCCGGGAAAGCCGGAACGTGCAAATGGACCCTGCGCAAACCGCGCTCGCCGCCATTCGCCTCAGGCACGGCGCCCGACCCAGCGACGCCGAGGCGGTGGAACTCCAGGGGGTCGACGGCGCAATCCCCGACGTTGCCGCTACCACCGCCCAAGCGGGAAGTCGCGCGTCTCCTTCTCGCCTCCATCAGTTGCGGGATTTTTGCCAAACCCGAAAGGATTGCAAGACTTCGTCGGATCTCTATGCGACTCTGACCCCGCCATTGCCAAGACCTCTGGAAGCGCGCTTAGTCCGCGCAGCCCTCTCCTCGCATGAGGTGTCCGTTGATGTCCTCGGCTGCAAGAGACGACGGTGCGATTTGCATTAAGGCATGCCCCTGCGGGGAAACATTCCAGATTTTCTCGTGAGACACCTGGCAGCGCCTACCATCAGCACTCCAAACTTCTTGCAGGCCGCATCCCCCCCCCCCCCCCCCCCCTCTGCGCCCCACAGCAAGCGCGCGCCCAACGCCGCGTGGCGGCGCGCGCAAGTGTCGACATGAGACCAGCCAACATGTGTTGTATTTGGTTTGTCTTTCGCGAATCCGATGCGTTCTCATAACGACGGCCACGGCCTGGCGTTGTCTCTGCATCCACCATATCCCCAAAACATTTGGAGTCCACTAGTGGTTTATATATTACAGTTGCCGATGGTTCTCATTAGCCCTTTGATGCGCGACGTTTGAACGGGGCCCACATGGAGAAAAACACGGTTCAAGTACTGAGTCGTTCCGTACATGCCCATGTTGTCAACCGCTGTCCTCGTGAATTTGGTTCGCGTGGCCCGCGAGTTCCCAGAACGCGCCAGGCGCCCCCTTCCTGGCGGCTGCCCACTTCTGCGCTGAAACCCCAGCACCTGCGAAACATTCAGCGCTGATGCATGGCCTGCTTCCGCGCCTTGGACAATATGTCGCACAAATCCTGCACGCGGCAATCTGCATAAACAGAGCGCGGGAAGCAAGCAGAGGCAATCCGCGCGCGAAACAAATAAGAAACGACGTCTGCGAAACATGCTCTCTCCAACAACCGTGTATACTTACGAAAGCAATCAACCCATTTCGCATAAACGAATATCGCAACTCCCCACGAGCCCCCACCCCACCCACATCCAAGACAAGCATGACCACCATCCAATGTGAAGAACTCACGGTTCTCTACCCTCCAAGTTTCATTGATGCTTACAGTCCCGCTGTACCCCATCAAGTTTCTTCACAAGCTCGGCTGCACGATTGTCAGAAACCAGATTCCTAACATTGCTATGAAATATTACTAACCCCTCCCTCATCACGAGTTGATGCGACATGCTGTCTTCACGCTGCGCAGCGCTGCCACAGGAAAATCCGCACATGCCCTTTCGAACCTCACATGGCCTCATCCTGTCGAAAACATGCGCGTTTTCTGCATGCGATGCTCTCCCTGTCACTTTCCAATGCCTACTTTTCCTTTTCTACCCTTCCATATGCTTGGAGACAGCCTCTTTGACCTCCAAAGCCTCGCCCTCATACTTCATATCCCCCTCCTCCGTCATCGATGCCACTGTCTTTCTCCTGGCCTCCACCGCACGGATCGCCCACCTGATTGCAATGAAATAGTTCGCGATATCTCTGTCCTCAATCAACCTGTATTTGATTTGCCCAAATCCTCTGTCCACCGCCTGCTTATCGAGTCTGTCAAGCCTTGTCGTTATGCCACTTCTCCTTCATGCTGTTCACTTTTTCAATAACCCAAACTGCGAAGCAATGGATATAAATTGAAGGACTCCAACCGCAGATGGATATGCGAATGTTGTCACATCGGTACATTATGTTCGAGCCCAGCTTGTTGCACAATCGCCTGCAACTCTTCGCTGATGCCGTCTTGATCCACCTCCTCTCCCAAACCTTTGGCGATCACTTGCATCTCACGGATTTCCGGGTCGCCACCGGCCTCACTCGAAGTGTAAGTTATTGCATGTGGTTTGAACTGCTGAATCGTGGTCATTATGCCTTCCATTTCTTTCTCAAAAACTGCACCGTTTTTGCGTAACTCTTCAATTGTGGTCTCCATGTTCCGAGTTTTGCAGAAGCTGTGCCGGCTGTAACGCTTGCGATGTGTGCCATGTCCTTTGTAGCTTCCCATGTCCTAAGGCCGGGCTAACGGCCATGTTCCTTAACGGTGATGTTGGGCACCAACTTGTAGGAAACCACGAACCACGCTTTCCTGCATTTCCCAACTGCGTATGGATCGAGCGAACACGACACAGCGAATTGTAGGAAAGCGCGAGCCACACGTTCCCACACTACCGAAACTTACATCGCTGGTACCTACATCGCCGTTAGCCCGCCTACGGATGTCATCCTTCATGTTCGTCAACATATCGAACATCTGATCGGACTTGTCGAGTGTGTCATTCATGTTATCTATTGTTTGCTCGAGGCTCAACTTGTCCCCATGTATGTTTCTTCTTGCCTGCTGAATCCCCTGCTGCCACCAAGCCACTTTTCTTAGCACTTTCCGGCATGATGGCAGTTCCGCCCGCGTTGAAAGCAGACCTGAAGATCACAGCTACAGCAAGGGCCGAGAGCCAAGATGCGTTCATGAGCCAAGATGTGGTACTTGAGACACTGATCAGAAAGACCCCGTGTACGCCGCTGCAGGGCTGTATGGCGGCGGCATGTGCCGCAGGCCCAGGCACGAGCCGACGCCAAAGCAGCCAGCGCTCGATGTGAGAGCTCTGTTCCAAGGCTTCGCTGCAGCCACAGCGGAGATTGCCAATTCCGCCCCGCCCGCACCTGCCGCGAGCTCAGCAGATGGCAAGCAGAGTTGAATGAGGAATGCAGCGGAGAGTGTTGCGTAGAATCCATCATCCGCGCCTTCCTGGTCTCCTTCTCGGTCGGCTACCCTGTCGTCCTACTCGACTACGAAGTCTGGAAAAGCGAGACTCGCGATTGGATATGACACTGTCATCGGTCTCGTCGTGTCTCCTTCTCCTCCTCCTCTTCCTCCTCCGCCTCCTCCTTCCTCCTCCCTCCTCCTCGTCCTCCTACCCCTCCTCTGCCATCCGACGTTGACGACGAGGACGACGAGTCGGAGAGGCCCCCCCCCTGGAGCTCGATGCTATCGACGGTGACATCGGCGTTGCCGTGGAGCGCGCTCAACAGCTGAAGCGGGTCGGTGACCTTCGGGGGGCGACTGTGGCCTCCCTCTCCTCCTAGAGAAGGGGGGCCTCCTCCTCCTCCTCGTCCTCCTCCTCCTCATCCTCCCCCCCCCCTCCTCCTCCTCCTCCTCTTCCTCCTCCTCCTCCTCCTCCTCCTCCCCCGCCTTTTCCTCCTCGTTCTCCTCTGGGGGAGGAGGGCGACGACGACGACCACGAGGAGGGCGAGCGAGCCAGGGATCGAGGCGCTTGTGCAGGCTCTTGCAGCGGGTCCCCTGGGGGGGGTCCCGCTGCAAGGGGGCGGGTCCCCTGGGGGGGGGTAAGAAGGGGGGATCATCTGTCTCAACTGTCTCGCCTTCGTCAGAATCACTACAGGATGCCTCCTCATCCTCCGCATCAAGCGGATGGTAATTGAACTCAGCGCGCGGTCAACGGACTGAAAGATCGTCGTCGTCATCGTCGTCGTCATCATCTTCACCTGCTTCTTCATCATCATCGTCACCATCACCACCATCATCACCACCACCACCATCATCATCATCATAATCATCATCATCATCATCATCATCAGCATCAGCATCATCATCATCATCATCATCATCATCATCATCATCAGCACCATCACCATCATCATAACCACCACCATCATCAACATCATCACCATCACCATCATCAGCCTTATCATCATCAGAACCGTTATCATCAGCACCACCGCCATCATCACCACCACCATCATCATCATCGTCATCGTCATCGTCATCATCATCATCATCATCATCATCATCATCATCATCATCATCATCAGCATCAGCATCAGCATAATCATCATCACCACCACCACCACCATCACCATCACCATCACCATCATCATCATCATCATCACCATCACCAACACCATCATCATCACCACCATCATCATCAGCAGCATCATTATCAGTATCATAAGCATTATCATCATCAGCAGCAGTAGCATCATCAGCAGCAGCACCAGCGCCACCCTCAGCAGCAGCATCGCCATCATTCCCATCACTACCCACTGCATCGCCATCAACACTTCCATGATCAGCACATGTGCTATCATCACCAATACCATTAGCTTCGCAATTGCCAACATCTCCATGGCCAGTATCATCACCATCACCACCATCACCATCACTACCATCACCACCGCCAACACTTCCATTACCATCACCACCATCAACACTAACAACGTCATCTCCATCATCATTACCGTCGCCACCACCACCATCACCACCACCACCACCATCACCGCCAGCATCATCAGCACCATCACCATCACCATCACCATCACCATCACCTGCACATTCACCAACACCACGACCACCATCACCACTTCCATCATCCGTAGCCGCTTCGGCCCAAAGAGTACCAATTTCGCTAGACTGGTGTTTTCCCTGGACGCGCTCGCATCCTCAAACATACCGGGTGCGCTCACGCCGCAGGTCCGGCGGAGCCGCGACGCTGAAGAGGCGGCCCGCGGGGCCCTATCGAGACGCACCAGCGGCCGGGCTCGCAGCAGGCCGCTTCCCCACGGAGGCAAGCCTGCTGCGAGCCACCGAAGGCCTGCTGCGCGCGGCGCGGCGGGCTTGCGGCTTGCGCAACGCAGCCGCCGAGCCGCCCCGACCTGCGCCTGCCGCGGCGGCGGCCCCTTGGCGGCGACGGCGCGGGCGCGGCGGACGAGGCGAGGACTCTGCGGACCGCGACGCGCGCGGCGCGGCGGCGAAAGACCCGTCCGTTGTCAGCGCGCGCTGGCATCGTGACTGCGGCCCACACGGAGTTGGAGGCAGACGGCGAGCCCGCTGGGACGCGGCGGCGGCGCCGCGCGCGGCTCGCCCCCGCGTTCACCCGCCATGGCCAGGACGCGGCGCCCCCCGCCGACGCATACGCGGCGGAGGCCGACGCGGCGTCGAAACCGTTCCGAAACCCAAAAGGAAACTAACTATTACATGTCCAATTATCGCCGTTCGTTTTATCGCAATTCTGGCCCCAAGCTCCAGCATGGCCCGAGAGAGCTCCATGAGGACTTCAAGACGACCCCATTTTTGTGTTGCTTCGGCAGGGTCCACCCGTTGAGGTACTTCCATGATGTGCGCTCCATGCTGGTACATCAGCGCGCCTAAATCGGGCACCTTCCTACGGAGCCTAGCGTGCCCAGTCTCGGTACGTTTGTACAGCCATTGCGTTCTTGCCTCGGCTGTGCGACTTGTCCCATGCTCCTCTTCCTCTTCCTGCTCCACCTCCTCCACCTCCTCCACCTCTTACTCCTCCTCCTCCTCCTCCTCCTCCTCCTCCTCCTCCTCCTCCTCCTCCTCTGCATCCTCTGCATCCTCTGCATCCTCCTCCTCTGCATCCTCCGGCCCCTCCGCCTCCCTTCCGTCTCCTCCATCCCAGTTCTCTAGACGCTAAACCCCCTCCGTGTCGCACCCCGGAGCGTCTGCAGGGCGGGCCGCGCGGCGCGCCCCGCCTCCTCATCCTCCTCTTCTTCCTCCTCTTTGACGACGCGACTCCTCCTCCTCCTCCTCCTCCTCCTCCTCCTCTCTCCTCTCCTCCTTCCTCCTCCTCCTCCTCCTCCTCCTCCTCCCTCCTCCCTCCCTCCTCTCCTCCTCCTCCCTCTCCTCCTCCTCCTCCTCTCCTCCTCCTCCTCCTCCTCCTCCTTCCTCCTCCCTCCTCCTCCTCCTCCTCCTCCTCCTCCTCCTCCTCCCCCTCCTCCTCTTCTTCTTACCATCTACAAGCCTGAAGCTCAAAACCTACAACAGCTTCCCGGCTGGAGGGCGGCTCGTTTCCAACATGCGGCTCTCGCCGAAGCGCCGTGCACAATTCGTTTGGCGGCGGGTCGCTTTCCAAATGCGGCTCTCGCTGCAGCGCCGCGCACGCTCTTCTTGACCAGCTCGCACAGGTCTCGCGAATGGCAGGCGGGTCGGTGTCAGAGTGTGGCTCTCTCCCGCGCGCCGCGCACCTTCGCCCAAAAAGGTGCGCGAGCGTTCTACGAATGGTTCGAAGTATGGCTCTCGCTTGCGCGCCGTGCAGAGTCGGCTTCAACGTGTGAAAATGGGGGAAACAAAAAAAAACAAAAGGAGAGGGCGGAACGCACAGACTGCCGACCCAATAGTCACTGTACGCACCGCGGGAATGTGGATAGCGGTGCGACTCAAACCATGGAACGTAGCAGTGCCACGGGGGAACAATTCCTGATAGGAAGTGCAAGAATCGAATCAGGGCGTGTACGAGGCTCGTTTCACGAGCGCACGCCATAACGCGTGCATCGACACCAGCCAATTGCCATCCGTGGGGGCGGGGGACACCATCCCGAACACAAGCACCCAAACTAAGACGACGGAAGGGCACGATTCAGAGGAGGGAAACAACTGGGAACTGAAACGGCGACTGGCATTCAAAGCGGTGGTATACAATTGAAGCCTAGATCCCGGACTGGGCCGTGAACGGCCACGAATCTAAGCAAGGAACAGGCTAACCGAATGCACGCGAAACGCATGAAGCATAGTATATGACACTAGCATGTTGCGAAACCGCGGAGGGCGCAACTCGAGGGCGAGGATCCCCAAGCGCCGCACGCAACTCGCAACCGCACGAGGCGAGGGCCCCCCCCAAAAAAACGGGGCGGCGCTGCGGGCCTCTCACGGCCGGCCCGTGTGGGCAGCACGCAGCTCCGTCCCCACGGAGCCCGCCGCCCCGCCCTGGACGAAGTGGCACTTGAATTCCGAGGGGGCGCAGGGAAAGGAGGAGCAAGGAAAGAGGATCGCCCTTGCTGGGCGTAAGACTCCACCAAGCGCCTGCCGGGCGGCCAGCTCCCCACGCGCCACGCCCTCCAGGTGGGTTGCGCCGCCTCTGGGATCTGGGGGGAAGGGCTCGTGCTTCTTGTCCTCGAGCGAGGAAGCGATCCACCAGAAGCGGACGAAGTCTCAAATAGAGTTCCTGGCCTCCCTCCACCAACCCATCTGGACACATGCCTCGCCGAACTCCGACGCGAGCTGAGCCACCGCCCGCAAGGCCGACAGCACGCCGTCGACGCCGAAATCCTCCACGCCCTCCGCGACAAGGTCGAGGAGAATGAGGTACGGCCCGCACGCGACGATCTCCACCGCGCTCTTACAGCGTAGCGCTGCCATCGTGCGCCCACTGGGACTGCATCATTTTCTGCGCGCCATCGTGCACCGAAGAGTCCGCTTGCGGCCAGGTGCGCCCGTCACAGCGCAATCAACTATTCGTATTTGTCCTTGAGGTTGCGCACAGAATCGGCGTCGCCCGTGACTGTGCCCCCCCTCAGCGTCTGCCCGTGGTGCTGCTCGTGCTCACCGTCGCCCAAGGGTCCACCCTTAGGCGTCTTCAGCGTCTGTCCACGTAGACTATGATGTTGGCGCTCGTCCTTGCACTGCAGCGTGCTCTCCAACGCCAGCGGCGTCTGAGCCTGCTCGAATTCATCGTGGCCCGTCAACGTCTTCACCGTCTGACCGCAACCCTGCTCGTACTCTTCAATGCCAGTCTCGTGCTGCTCGCAGTCCAGCTCGTACTCTTCAGAGTCGCTCTCGTGCTACTTGCAGCCGTTGTGCTGCTCGCAGACGGCATCCGTGGGGGTCGCAGGGGAGAACCAGCAAGCATCGTCCTCAATCTCGATGTCCGTACGCTCAACTATGCTGAATACCTCTGGGCTGTGGGCACCGGGCGGCACGTGCGACGCAGCATGGTCATCGTGCAAGCGCAGTCGGTGGAGCCGTCTACTCGCCGGTTCCGACCGCAGGCCTGTCGAAGCCAGGCCAGTCGCCGCCATCTAGCCACAGCCCTTCCCCAAGCGCGTGCGCGGGCGTGCAGGCGCGCAGGCCCAAGCCAGAACGGCTTCAGCCATACTGGCTTGAGCCCTGCCTCGGCTGTGCGGCTTGTCCCATGCTCCTCCTCCTCCTCCTTTTCCTCCTCCTCCTCCTTCTCCTCCTCCTCCTCCTCGGCATTCTCTGGCCCCTCCGCCTCCCTTCCATCTCCTCCATCTCGTTTCCTTGCAATTAACTCCTCCCTGTCGCACCCCGAGACGTGTCGGTAGGGCGGGCCGGGCGTTTCGCCTGAGACTTCCGCACCACTTATGATCCTGAGGGTCAGAATCAACAACACCTTCACGGATGGAGGGCGGGTCGTTTTCAAAATGTGGCTCTCGCCTAAGCGCCACGCACATGCGCCTGAATAAAAGTTTGCTAATGCTTCACGAATTGATGCCGGGTCGTATCCAAAATGTTGCTCTCGCCGTAGCGGCGCGCACAATCGTTCTCAAAGCTTGCACAGGCTACACGGATGGAGGGCGGGTCGTGTTCAAACTGTGGCTCTCGCCTAAGCGCCGCGCACATTTGTTTTCAAAGTGTGCAAGAATTGTACGGATCGAAGACGGTCCTTTTCAAAATGTTGAGCACCGAGCTCATTCGTCTTAAAAGTTTATACGGGCTCCACACATTCGGGGCGGCTCCTTTTCAAAATGTGGGTCTCGCCTTATTACAGCGCACATTCGTCTTTCAAATTCTACAACAGATTCGATCATTATTATGGAAGGCGCTCCAGGAATGGTGTTCCGCCCCAGGGATGGTGTTGTCGGGGAGAAACAATCATGTTGATTCGCGTCCTGGCACGAGTCGGGACCGTCAGGACGCAGTAATGACGTTGATTCGGGGCGTTGAAGTCCCAGGAAAGGTGTTCTGGCACGATGGAAGATTCTCGGATTGTTGTTTCCAGCGGGGTACTTCCCACAGATAAATTCTTGTAGGGGCATATGAAGGAAGGAACTTGGAGGGAAGGTTTATTGCAATATTGTTGATGTGGATTGGGTTTGCACTGGTCCTCCTGTTCCTCCTTCTCCTCCTCCTCCTCCTCCTCCTCCTCACTTGTCTTGTTCGCCCAGAAGCACCGAAGATAACTGGATAAACTTGTTGGCCGCCGTGTCAAGCGCTGCCTTCGAGTAACTCTGGTAGAAGGCCTCAATGCGATGCCACAATAATGGTCATTGCGCCCGCAAGCCCTGCAAGTCTGAATTCTAGGGAGAAGGGAAGAACAAGTGTAAGAGGATGGTGAAGTGAAGGAAGAGGAGATGGAAAGTGAGAACGGGGACAAAAAAAAACGTTATATGCAGAAGGGCAAACGGAATTGAGAAGAAGAGAGAGGGGGGAGAGTAGTGAAGCAAGGAGGGAGAAAGGAACCAGGAGGAGGCAGAGGAGTGGAGGAAGGCGACGAGAGGAGAGGAAATACGTATAGATAATATGGGAAGAGACGAGGGAAGGCATGCGGAATGCCATCCTGCCCTTGCTCATCTCCTTCCATCCGTCCTCCAACCCTCGCCGGACGGTGGGCTGCCTTTGTATCAACGGGCCCTCCTCCGAAGCATTGCTTTGGTGACCTATTCGGGGCCGCGTGGGCCGTTTTGCAAGACCCGGGGGCCGGCCCTGGAGGTTAACATCATATTTGGGGCACTCGGCATTACGTTGCTGCATGGTTCTCGCTTGCTCGACTTTTCAAAACTAGTTGCCTCTCAGATGGTCAGACGGCCTGATTGTCCCAAGACGGCCGCCGAGATCCCCAAGAGAGCCCAAGAATTCCCCAAGACGGGCCCAAGCGTTGCCCGAGGCGGAGTACCCGAACTGGCATTTCGAGCTCAGGTGGCCCCCGAGACCGCCAGCTGGCCTCCAAGACGCCCCCAGGAAGAGCCCAGCATGCCCCCGGAGACATTTTTTACAAGGTCCCCAGGAGGCCTCCCACCAAGAGGCATCTTAGAGGCCTCTGGTCACAGACCCAGGAATGGTAGCGGGATGAGCCGAACACATCCACCGCCTCCTTCTACTTGCAAAGGAGTGCGCATAGCGTGCCGAGTTTGCGGGTAAATTACCTGCCCTTCAACAAAAGGTTCCCAAGGGTCTTTGGCTCAACCCGCCAGCCATCCGGAAAGACCCAGCGGACCAGAGAAAGGAAGATTCCAGTAGCTCTACTGCCCGAAATAGCTCCAAGATGACTCCAATACGGTCCCTAGACGCCTCCAAGACGGCCAAGATGGCCCCAAGCAGGTCGCAGATGGCCCACGATGGCCCAAGACGTCCCCACAGGCCCCCAAGACGGCCCAAGATGGCCTCCAGACGTACCGAGTTGCCATCAAAACGCCCCAAGACGGCTACAAGAGGCCCTCAAAGATGACCGCAAGAGGCCAACATCATGCTCCTCAGATTTTCAAATGATTGTCACGCCATCGCCTGCTTGGGCCTCCGCCAGCTAAAGATATCCCCAAAGAGGCCTTAGAAGGTCCCATGAGGGCCCCAAGACGGATCAACAGGGACCCAACGCGGCCCAAAAGACCCCAAGAGGGTCACAAGACAGCACCAAGGACCTCCAATACAACGCTGACACCTGCCAAGACGACCCCAATACTGCTTCCGAAGGCCAAGAGGCCGCAGCAGGCCCCAAAGAAACCCTTAGAAGTCCCCAAGAGTTCTGCAAGAAGACCCACAGGAGGTGCCAAGAGGCCCCCAAAAAGCATCCTCTTCCTCATTCTGCTCCTGCCGCAAAATTCCCTCCAAGAGTTTCCACAACGGTTGGGGAACGCACAGTCCTATAGCTTGGCAAGACTTTGGCCCAATGTGTGGTCGGATGGGCGTATCCAACAGACAGGGGGCGGCGGCGATTTCGAGCAACTAATGTGCAGTACGCACTGCTACGAGAACAGCGCTTACGCACCGTATCATGTTGGAACTCCCGTGAGGCCTCGCTCAAACGCGGTACGGTGCATGTTTTTTGTTGGCCCTAAGGGCCGATCAACCATGCACCGTACCATGGCTGGGTCGATGATCGACAACGTCTCGGGAGACGCCCACGCGGTACGGTGCATACAGATCGTCCGCGGAACTGCGTCCACTTCCTCATGCTCCTACAACCCTCCTTCTCCGCGAAGAGCACGGGGAGGAATGAGACGAGAACTGTGCTTTTTTTGTGCGGGCCACGACCAGCCCCGCAGAACCGCCTCCTGCGAGCAAGAGGGCCTGAGACCTAAACCACGCGACGAGGCAGCCTGGGCACGCCACCCCTGCCGACACTCCCGTCCGGCCGCAGCCGAGCGCGGCCCAAGGGCTGGCGTGGCGGACTGTGCCACCGCCACCGCCGCCCATGTGGCGTCCAGGGGGCCAGGGCGAAGACCCTGAGATCCGATGTTGCCTCCAAAAAGCAACGTGGCGAAAAATCACAGGACCAGACCCCTACCCAAATCATTGGATACGATTTCTTGTGGGTCGAAATCGAAGGCCCCCCCCTTCAAAACAATTTGGAACTCATTTGGAACAATGTCTCCATCCGCACCCTCGTGTGGAGCACGCCTGCAATGGCCCGGCGCAGACCGCGTATTCACTCCTGTCTGCGAACGCGCGTGGAGCTTTCAGTTATTTCCGCGCAACTCACTCACCGATTACGTCTTTGCCCCCTCCCCAGTTGAGCCCACTGCAATTGTGGCCGTGAGCCCTACCACGGCGAAGAAGTCCCTAGATCCCACGGCATAGTCCAGTTCAAGACGAACTTTTCTAAAAACAAAAATATGTATTACAAAGAACGATCAGCTATTAAGGAGACAGAAGCGATTTGTGTCAAATCCGCCGGCCGCTGTGTGGGGGCCATTAGGCTGCGAGGATTGGGCTGCAATGCCCTGCACCAGTTCCCGTTTCCAGTCTCCAATGTTTCAGTCCTGCGTTCTGCTTCCTACTGCAGTTGTTGAAGCCCGGTTACATTTCCTGCGGGGCCGTGGGACACGTAAACACAAGCAAGGTTCGCGCTCCCGGCGCAATACTCCCTCGCACATTACGCCACATTCGCGCCCCCGAGGCCACGGTCCGTCGTAAATTGCCTCGCACTCGCGTTCCCGAAGCCACGATCCCTAGTAAAATACGCCACGCTCGCGCCCCTGAAGCCACGATCTCCGGTAGATTAAACGACATTCGCGTCTCCGGGGCCACGACCCCTCGTAAATTACACCACGCTCGCCCCCCCCGAGGCCGCGATCACTTTTAATGACGCCACATTCGCGCCCCCGAGGCCACGATCCTCCGTGAATTACGCCACGCTGGCGCACCCGAGGCAACGACCCTTTGTAAATTACGCCACGCTCGCGCCCCCGAAGCAATTCATAGTAAACTACATTCGCGTCCCCGAGGCCAGCAACCCTTGCAAATCATTCAAGTTTTGCATCCCCCAGCGACAAACCCTTCGTAAATCGTACGGTTCTCGCGTCCACGAAGCAATTAGACCTTGCAAATTATATGATTCTTGCGCCCCCAAGACAACAAACCCTTATTACACGCCATCCGCGTCCCCGAAGCCAGAATCCCTTGTGAAGTTTACAAGATTCGCGTCCCCGAGGCCACAAACCCGCGCAAATTGCTCAATACTCGCGCCCCCGAAGACAGACTCCCTCGTAAATTGCAGAGTGTTCGCGTCCCCGAGGCCACAAACATTCACAAATTGATCAACTCTTGCATACCCGAGGCAACAAACCTTTTTGTAAATTACTCAATATTCGCATCCACGAGGCCGTAAACCTTCGCACGTCACATCATCTTCGTATTACCGAGGCCAAGATTGCGCCAAGGCGCCCGAAGATGGCTCCAAGACGGCCCAAGAAGGTCCCAAGAGGCCCCAAGAGCGCTCCAAGAGGCCTCCCGAGAGAGCCCCAAGATGTTCGAAGGATTTGGGGGTTCTCGCACGTTCGTCTTTCCGACGCCCCAAGATGGCACAACAAGCTCCCAAGACCGCCCCAAGACAGCCGAAGACGCCTCCAACAGGGCCCCAAGACGGCCCGAGAGGGCTTCAAGATGGCCCAAGAAGCACTCCGAGAAGCCCCGAGAAGCTCCCAGGAGGCCCCAAGAGGCCCCAAGATGCGCCCAAGTTGCGCCCAAGACGAGCCAAAGAGGCCTTCAGCTTCAAGAGGCCCAGAAGATACCCCAAGAGGCCCCAAGAGGCCCCCAAGAGGCGCCGAAACCGCCTCCAAGAGGCCCCCGAGAGGCTCCCACGACACCCCAACACATCAACAAGAGGCCTCAGACCCACAACCCAGACACGGTGGCGGGATGGGCCGAAGGCCACTAGGATCCGCCGCCCCCTGTGGTCTTGCCACAGGGGTGCACGGCGTGCTGGATGTTTCAGGTTTTGGTTTTGGTTCTTTTTCTAAAAGAACTCCCCAGTGGGCTTCGGCCCGTCCCGCCGGCCACCCGCAAGTTTCCGAAAATCCATCTGTCAATGCCTTTGTTGCCCCAACTTGGCCCAAGATGGCCTCCAAGACGGCCAAGATGGCCCAAGATGGCCTCCAAGATGCTTCCAAGACGGCCAAGATGGCCTCCAAGACGGGTAAGATGGCTCCAAGATGCACCCAAGACGGCCCAAGATGGCCTCAAGATGGTCTAAGACGGCCCAAAAGGCCCGCAAAAGGCCTCCAAGACGGCCCAAGAGCCCTCCAAGACGCCCTCCAGGAAGGCCCGAATAGGTTAAAATCATTGATTTTCCTTAGGTTTTTCAAGGATTTTGGCATGTTCTTCTTTTCAGCTCTCCGACGGCCCAAGACGGCCCAAGAGGTCCCCAACATCGCCCCAACAGCACCCAAGAGGCCCCAAGAGGGACGGCCCAAGTGGCCCCCAAGATGGCCCCAAGAGGGCCCCAAGATGGCCCAAGAGGCCTCCAACACGCCCAAGATGGCCTCCAAGACGCCCAAGATGGCCTCCAAGACGGCCCCGAAGCGCCCCAAGAGGGTCCCCCGTTGGCCCAAAAGGCCCCCAAGACGGCTCCCGACGGCGTCAGACGTGCCAGGAACCCACCAAGATGGCCGAAGTTGGCTCGAAGCTGGCCCAAGACGGCCCAAGAGGCCCCCAAGAGGGCCTCCAGGAAGGCCAGAAGAGGCCAAAAACATGGATGTTCCTCAGGTTTTTGACGGATTTTGACATTTCCTTCTTTTCGGCCTTC